AGTTTTTGTTTTCATTATGATTAACTAGTTCACTGTTGTCACCACCTTTTTATATTTGTCAATAACACTCAACCGTCTTGCTTGACGTCTTAAGACAGTTTTCGCCTTGTTAAATTTCATGCTTATTACTTTTGTCATCTTGCGTACTATTGCGCAGTCTCTCCACCTCTAAAAACCAAACTGAACAAAATAATAGTGTAGCAACACTACCGTTATTAAATAACGGTGTTATCTGTTTGTATTAGAAACGAATAAGAATGTTTAGTTTTTAGGAATTATAACATCATTCTTGCCGCCACCTGTACTAATTCTAACTTATCTGATGGGTTTCAATGATTTTTTCTCTGTATTCGAGATTTTCATTCTCATCCACTTCAAAGTTTATGAAAGTACTTGGGTCACAAATTTCCACTGTTTCGTCGCATGCATTTTCAAGATAAATTTTCTATCATCTATTCCAAATGGTTCTAAGTACATAAAGAATATAAGATCGTAGTCATTTCAATTTCATGCAAATTATACCTCAGTAGCCAAAATTCTGCAGATTGTTGCATTTGTGTGCTTATAACTCGTAGGAACATTCAGGTACTTTCAGTATGATTTTGATGTACTTTCAGTGGCGTAATATCTTAACTTTTCCCACTTACAACGTAATGGCATAATGAACGCACCTCATTGCGGCTACTCATGCTCATCATTGTAGACTGTTGGGCGACTTAAGCAATTGAGATATCTAATTTCTGCTGCAATCCTGATGAATCTCCGCAATTGCAGAGATCATAATTTATTGTCTCATCACAGTCGTGTGTCAAAATGAGAAACCAAGAAATGAAAAGTATCTAACAATATTAATTCGGTGTATTTTTTATCGCTTTGTGGAACTTACCTGACAATTGTGCTTCTCACCATACTGTTTTTACTTTAGGTAGTTTTCTGTGGTTGTCAACTAACTGCTGTAAATTAAAACTTTTCTTATATGTTAAGGTCAAATGCCTGTTTTACAGCATGTATGCCACTTAAAAATCTGATGATCTCTATGTATACAAGATTTTTTAGTCCAGCACCTTCAGCACTGCGGAAAAAGAAATTAGTTCTATGAGTATGCAATCGAAAATGGTACACTATTGTAAAAGAAAATTTTGATTAGGTACGTTGACTGTAAAAATTATATTGGATTTCAGATTTCTATTCGTGCAGAAATAGTAATGGAGAGGGTACTGTATTTGCAGAGTGGATCACCAATGCATTGCTTTGCATGCATAAATCTTCAATTTACCTGGTGGTGGCTAGCAGTGGAATCCAGGGTGCTCATTTCGTCCTATTTGGGACTTATTAGTTTTAGGTGCCTGCATCCGAGTGAATGATAGTGTTCCAACTGAAACTTGAACCTCATATCCATCGCTTCAAACTTCAAGGGGTTATCCACTAGACAATTAAGGCATGACAGCCACCTCTTGTGCAACGGGTAACAGTTATTACCATTTTTGCTACTTATAATTAGTCGTCGTTATGCTGGATCAAATTCACTGACCTCTGTTGACATATGAGCTTCTATGAGAATTCCTTGGTATTGCCTGAATGTTCATTGCTATAATTTACCTAGTGGATGGCTAGCGGTGGGATACGAGTTTCTCAGGCAGAACACTGTGACTCACTTGAGTACAGGTACAACCAACTGACGATTCAGAAATAGGACGAAACGCGCATCGTGGATTCTACTCCTAACCACCACTAGGTAAATGATAACAATGAACATTCAGGCAAAATGGAGGTATCTGCGTTGAAATCCATGTATCAACAGGTCGATCAATGTGATCCAGTACATTGACAGGGAATTACAAGTACCGAAAAATAAATGTCATTGTTTGTCAATAAATTCAATGTACCTGGCTGTATTTGAATACAAGTAAGATTTATTACGTTCATGTGCATTGTACTGAATACACTTTATCTTAAGTACCTGTGATTGATCTACTTTTTCATTTTTAGGTATATCAAACATGCTTTCAGTTTAATGTATGAAATTTCCTTATATGATAAACGGAATGCAATTTTCTCGTCGTCGTCGTCATCATCATCATCATCATTACCTAATAGTTATGATGGAATTGATGGGAAGCTTATTGTTGAGCAATTGAATTTTATGTGCTGTCATTGGTACCATGTTGATCGTATTGTCAACACCCATGAATCATTCAATAGTAAATGCCAAATTAGTTCATCACTTCTAGATGTATCTCATGAAAATTTAAAGAATTCAGTTATATATGGTTTAGGTTGTTCGTTGAATCGAACACTAGAATTTCATACTTTGGATTCGTTTTTGCAACCGAAATTGGCTTGGGAGATTGGAGGATATTTGAAAGACTCTGATTGGCTTGGTCCTGATAAATGGGGTGCTGCAATTATTGACATGCAGGTAAATAAGTGAGGATATATTAGGATTATTCCCGTTTGAAATTGTGGAGAATATTTGTAGCTTAGGTGAATGCTCTTGGTTGTATCCGTTTTTTTGTTTAGTTTACCAGTTTTGTTTAAGAACTGATCTTTGTCTAATCATAGGTGATACGGTGTCTTATCTCAAGTTTCACTGGTGATGAGATTTGTAACTCTTGACTTTATAGTGACCATTTGAGATTGCTAGATGTACTTCTAAACATCATTTTGGTGTGAAAACTTGTAGCAACGTATATTGACAGTTTTAATGGTGTGTTGCTGGAATATTTCTAATGTACTAGGATCCAATTCTTATGGCAGCATAAACTTTAGATCAAACAGTTGAATGAAAATAGGCGTAATCCTGATCATTCAAGCTTTTAAGTTATTGCATGTTTCGGAATTAGAATCCAGATGGAATGACGATTGGACAGACATTAAATTAAAACCTTACATAGTAGTGCATTCGTTCAAGTTATCACGCATCAAAACAGCATTCTAAAAAAAAGTGGCGATGAAGTTGACAGATGCGTATGGGAGGATAAAAAGTTTAGAGATAGTCAAGAATGGTGAAAATGTTCAAAATTTCAAGAATGTCAAACAACAAATACATTTGCGTCAGTTTTCAGCTATACCACCAAGAGTCTCCAATCAATGCTTCCTATTATCTCTAGGATCCCAGACAGATAGTCTACACTTTGCAAGGCTGAGACCAACAGCCAAATACTTTATAAACTGATGCCACTTCCTGTTTCGGTCTCATATGAACTTCTAACTAAATCCCATTACGGTTAACTTTCCACGTCGTGGTAGACGGTGCTCTGGAATGCGCAACACATATCCATCTCAGTCGATGAAGCTTCGTAACCTTATGGACCGAATCTCCTTTCCTACCTACCGACTACAGTTCGCATGATGTGGAAGGGGGTAGGTGTGGTAAATTCTATGACAAGCTATCAGTTTTGCTACGCAAAGGAAAATGTTCAAATGAAGTTATAATAGCTGGCGACTACAGCGCTCAAGTAGGAAAGCCGAGGCAATCAGAAAGGCAGGTGGGAGGTATCTTTGGGACCCTGGGCCAACGAATCGATATTGGTGATCGTATGCTGCATTTTCGTCCTAACGATCACTTATTTCTGGTCAGCACTAACTTTAACCATAAGGACAGACAATGTCTCACATGGTGTCCACTGACATCAAGCCAACGATAGAAACATGTAGATTATATTGCTATACGCCATCGTTGGAGAGGATCGGTGGAAGATTGAAGCTCATTATGGAGTGCCTATTTAGATTCTTATCACGTGTTGGTAAGGTTACGTGTATATATGAGCCTTACTGGTTGCAGAAAACAGGTGACAGTGAAGCCTCTCTCTATTCGATTGGAAAATGACAACGTGAAATATGTGTTAAGCAAGCAGACAGTGGAGCAATCATTTGAACGTGACAGCAATGCTCATCCTGATGAAAAGTAGTGTGATATTAAGTCTGCTACAGAAACAGCTTGTAATCTACACATAAAGGTTACCAATCGTCACTGAATTTCTACAAATTCATCTGAAGTGATTGATGCGAAAAACTGATTCCAGCAGGCTATAACCACGATAAAGAGGGAAAGCCACTGCAACGTAAGTTGACCAAGAGTCTTGGCGTCGACCGTGAACAGTGTGGTGGATGGCGGAAGCGAGAGGGAGAGAAATGGATAAGGTATCAGCGTTGGGTAACACTCGGCAACTATTTAGGCTTACTAAGGATTCCGGCAAAACGAAGACGATGGTTAGTGAAACAATGACGGGAAAGGATGTGATACTGATAATCTCCCAGGACAGGCGGCTAGAACGATCCGTAGAACATTTTGAAGCACAGTTCAACTGACCCACAGCAATGCTGCAGTTGGCCAACATCCAGACTGAACATGAATGAGACGTGGATATCAGTCCATGATCCCTCCTTGAAGTTGACAAGGTTATATCGGACCCGGAACGCTGCAAATCATCAGGATCTGACATTTTGCCACCTGAAGTTTTGGACGCCTAACTGGAGCTCAAAAACAACAAACTCGAAAAATCTGGGAAGGTTTCAAACCTAGATGAAGGCGGATCGATCATATTTTACCCTCTTACATGTCCTGGAAAACCCGTTGTCGAGACTTGTCATATTTCTCTACCTGAAGGAGGCATTTGACTCAGTCGATCGTGGTGTTGTGGCAATAACTGACTGTGAAAGGAGTACCGAGGAAGTGTATATTTCTTATGGAAGCTCTCTACTCAGACTCACGTAACTGTGTGAGGGCTTGTGTAGAGTTGTCATGTGAATTTATGACGAGTGGTGGTGTCTGTCAGGGATGCCTGCTGTTGCCGTTCCTATATAACTTAATTACAGATGAACTAGTGTGCTAGTTCACTAGTCACTAGCGGCCCTAGGCCCGGATAAAGTGAGGTCGGACATAGGGCTAGCAATTCTTCCCCGTAAAACCAATCCAATCGCTAAAGTAAAACTTCGAATCACAGACGAAATATAAAAAAAGTAAACTTATCCCATGTTGGAATCGGGAAGACGAAATGACCCCGGTTAGTGAGAGCCTTCGGGAGGTCAATTAGCCTATATGTCTTCTCTTTTCTCGATGAAAGCGAAAGTAAACATGAAGACATGAAATGTCTACACAATGTTTGAAACTAGCAAGGCTTCCCAGATTGCAAAAGAGATGGAAAGACATAGCATTGAAGTGCTAGGAATCTGCGAAAACAGATGGAATGGAAGTGGACTCTCCAAACTGTCAGCTGGAAAGTTAATAATCTCCGATATTGTCACCCAGGTGACAACCACGAGCACAGCACACTGAGTTTTAGAGTGGCTGTCATAATGTCCCCAAGAGCATCGAAGGCTCTCATGCAGTGGGAACCAATCTCCTCCTGCAGGATTATGACAGGAAGATTCAAATCAAAAGGAAGGAAAGTCACAATCATAAAATGCTACGCTATGCACCTACAAATAATGGAGATCAAGAGAAGAAGGGGTAATTCTACAGATAACTGCAATCAGTACTCGACTATACTCCAGTTGGCGACATCAAAATTCATTCGAATGGGCCACTTGAATGCCAAACCGGAAGCGGACAACACAGGAAGAGAACTTATCCATCATGGGTCGAGAGGCTCGGTGAAATGAACTGTTTGCAGGCTTCTACACCTTTAATGACTTGGTGATTGGACGCAGTGTGTACAAATACAAGGATATTCACAAAGCGAGCGACATGGATTTCACCAGACACACTAAAAATCAGACCGACTTCATTTCAATGTGAAGAAAGTGGAGATGCAGTCTACTGGACACAAGATCAGATCATGAGGGGGAGCAGATGTAGGTTCAGATCACTCACTTTCTAGAGCAACAAACCTTCAAAATCAAGTTGAAAGCCTTCAGAGAAGCTGGTCATAGACCACAGTTCAAGTTCAACACCCAAAACAGAAGTGAGCTGAAGGACGAAACTACAAAGGGCATCTTCATGTCAGGTATCAGGAAAAAATGGGAGATATTAAGCAACATACCTGAAGAAACTTGCGTGGAAGAACACTGGAACTCTTTTAAAGAGACGTGGAAGGAAACCTGCATAACCGTGTTAGGAAGAAAGAAGACAGGGAATGGATCTCCATGGACACATGAAGCTGATAGAGAAGGGAGAGGAAGATGAACCAGTGCAGTGCAGTGCAAGGATGGACAACGAAATGAAGAATTGAACACAACCTATAAAACACTACACCGGACAAAGAAGTGACGAAGAGTGTGCGGAAAAACAAAAGATACGTTTGCGACACGTTGGCAGGTGAAGCAGAACAGGCTGCAGATAGGAGAGACGGAGACGTGACAATACTATATCAAATAACCAGGTTATTTTCTGGGAGGGAAGAGATCAACACAGATGAAATCAGTGAAAGATAGTGAAGGGAAGCTGGTTATCAAAGAAGAGAAACAAAAGAAACGACCACCATCACTACCTGCAACTCCTCCAGAAATACCACCAGTAGCCCAACCATAGAATTACCAGTGAACACAAGCCCTTCGACAAAAACAGAAGTGAAGTCCTTAACGCCATCAGGTTGCTGAAATCCGCGAAAGCATCAGGACCAGATAGAATTCCTCCAGAAGTACTGGAAAAAAACGCAGAGACAACAGCGGCATGCTCGCTCCACTACTGCAGAAGGTTTGAAAGAGGGACAACCTTATCAGCGAACTGCCAAAGAAGGGTAACCTAAGTCTTTGCAAGAACTGGCGAGGAATCATGCTCATATCCACCCAAAGCAAAGTATTAAGCCGCATTATACTAGAGAGACTAAAGTTTGCTTTGGATTCAAAATTGCGACCGGAACAGGCTGGCTGGATTCAGGAATAACAAATCATGTGTGGATTAAATTGCAACGCTGCGCTACACATCATCATAAAACAGAGCGAAGAATGGCAGCCAACTCTCTACCTCAACTTCATCGACTTTGAAAAGGCCTTCGATAACGTCAACAGAGATGTAATTTGGCAGGCAACTGCTTCAACACTACGGTTTTGGTGCCACAAACCTTTTATCAATCTCATTCAACATCTATATGCTGTATGATGCTACATGCCAAGTGATTCACAATCGAAAGATCAATGGTGTCTTTGAAGAAAAGACAGGAGTAAGACAAAGTTGCCTACTACCACTGATGATCTTCCTGACTGTGGTCGACTGGACTGGACTGAATCATGCAACAGACAACTGTGAGGAGCGAGAAGAGAGGCATACGCTGGCTGGGACGATGAAAAGAGCCTAGAAGATTTAGATTTTACCGATGATTTATGTCTAATGTCGCACAGGCTTGAAGATCTACAGGCACAAACCAACAAGTTGATAGAAGAAGCGAGGTGGAAACGACGGGACTTCCTTCAGGTGAACATAGAAAAGACAGACGTGAAGATACCCAACCAGCAACAAGCACCAATCACGACCAATAGGAGAAATCTAAAGGAAGTAGTCTCTTTCACCTACCTAGGCAAGGCACCATCATTTCAATTACAGGTGGCGGCACAGATGAGGATCTCAAAGCCAGGATCGGAACAGCAAGACAGACCTTCATTAATCTGAAATCACTGAGGAGATCTACTGCACTGTACACAGCATAAAGAACAAGATCCGGATATTCAACACCAGCGTCAAGTCAGTGCTTCTGTATGGCTCGTTACGAAAGGGATTTCCAACAAACTACAGACGTTCATCAACAACTGCCTCAGCTGGCTCATTACTGAAGATCAGATGACCAGAAAGAATAAGCAACAAGGAATTCTGGTAACGAACCAACCAAGAACCTATCGCCAGCAAATATGCAATAGAATAAAGTGGAGGTGGATTGCTCATACACTGAGAAGATCGATTGGGGACATCACGCGTCAGGCCAGACCCTCGAGTGGAATCCAAAGGGAAAACGACGAGGGTGACATAGAGGAGATCGTGTAGAGAAATGAAAGCTTGTGGGTAGTCATGGAGTGTGGTTCAAAGGACTACAGATAGCAGAGTGGTGATCTAGAAACACTGGTTTCGATGGCTTAAACATATGTTACGCATCTCGTCTCAATGGCTTCCACATTTTCATTGTTCGCTAGCTTTAGGACTGGATGGAAGAAGCGGAAGGGCTGTCAGTGTATGACGTGCCGCCTTGGGATGAAGGACATTTACATGGAGTTAGCATCTGTTGATGCATCACAACTCTATGGGTGGTGTCCAAGAGATCATGCAACTCACTGGCCTGAAATGTTATCAGGTATGGCTGGGAATCGAAACCAGTGGTGGCCATGCTGTAGCTTCGTTCTGTATTCTGCTGCTGAAAAGTAATGAATGTTTTGTTTTGAATGTTTCTTGCTGGACTGACTTTCTAATCGTTCTATTTTGGTTGTGTTTTTCTTTCATTATCTTCCGTTCGCTTTGTGTGTTCATTATGTTGGCATATTATTACCTGTGGCGCATTTCTTGGTACCGATGTTATACCATGTTTGTGTTTTAATGGCTTAATAACCCTTGCTGAGGCTTTGGACGCATACCTGGGCCCGGTGATCCTTAAGATAGACAGATTATATGTATAGTTTACTTGAGTGATCTGTGAAGCAGAGCGCTACTTTCCATTCTTAATGAGCATTGGGAATTCACGGTGGCTCCACAGATGTCCATCGCCCAGCGATCCTTTTGTCTTCGTACATAGATTTTCCCACCCATTGATCCCCTAGGTTCGACCCAATTTCTTAGGTAAGTGAAGTTGGCTAGACACTCAATCATTTCACTGCCTATTGTTTAATGAGGTATCGTGGAAGAACAGTCCTGGACCAACGGTTTACACATGGGGAGCGAAAACCACATCCAATGCATTCCTGGCTTGTCACTTTAGATTTTCAGAAGGCTTTGGTTTTTGTCAGCAATTGGACTGCATTTTCTACGTACTCCAGGTTCAATAAGTAGCCTCTTGTGACATGATATATCCCTGTAAATTTAGACAACTTCAAGATGACCCCCATAAGTACGCTGTGTTGAAGTTGAACAACAATGAAGAGGTTTGACGTCCTTGACGTTGACATACCACTCTCACCTGATAACTCATCATAGAATCCAACGTGTCGACCGGTTTTTGGGTACAGATCCTAGTATAGTAGGACCTCAAAGAACCAACATATCTCGTTGAGCGATTGGGATATGCAAACTCGACCATCATCTCAAGTCAGCAGCTGTAGAGAAAGGAAGCTATCGATGAATATATCCCTTCAAAGAATACGGACTTCAGAAGTCCTTCAGAAGTTTGCTGCTGGTCGCGTTTGTGTCATGCCGCTACCTGTTCATAATGGTAAATATCTCTTTTTGAAGTTACAATTTCTGGCGTAGTTACGCTAATTGGCGTTTATTGTTATTTGGGAATCCTTGGGTTTTTTCAAAATAGATGAATACTTTACGAAGAATCTAATCTAACCTTTTTAGGATGTGGTAATTTCGGTCTGTCCAACGAACTAAAATAATTTCTCCATATGTATTATCTGGAAAGTGTTTATTAAAATTTAAAGAATCCTTCGAACTCGGTGGTGGTGAAAAGTTGGTGTTTTCATGATTTTCTGTATTCGTAATTGTTGTACCACTTTTGTGCAATTGATGTCTGAGTACGCATCTGTTCTATATAGTTAATTTAAATTTAGCTGCATTGTGCATATTTTCGAGAATCGAGTGAATTTTGGCATGAGATTCAAAAGTTGTACAATTGTTTAACACGTTCTGTGTTGGTGACAAAATATATCAGCTAGATGTCTCCAGACCAAAAATACACAAAAACTGATCCTTTTGGGATGACCTGGTTTGTAGTTGTAGGTATATTTAATCGGTAGACAAATACTTTACCTCTAACCTTACTGGTTCATATTTTCACCCTAGGTCATCTGAATAATGTAAACAAATATCTGTAGAAAAGGCAATTGTTACTCGTATCTTGCGTATAGTTGTCAGCTCAGCACTGATAAGAAAGGATTTTTCAAATGTAGTAATCTGAGATGCAACAGGTAGTACCCACTTAACCAGTAGCAAAATCTGCTTACTGCGTTAAGATTCTACCATAATTGTAAGACATTTTTGCGCAAAAAGTAGCATAACTGGTGAAAATTACATATAACCTTTGCAAGTATGTGTAAATTGTGTAAGTAATAGTTCAATTAATGTATTTATGGAGCTAGTTACATAAGCCACACAAAGCCTATTCTATTCAAACGCATCTCTGAACACTATCTTGGTTGGTTATCTAGAGGACGGTGTAAAACCGTCAGCAGCTCGATTCTCAAGCATTTGGTTATCTCTAGTCACTGTGCTCCACGAGAATCCTTCAGTCATTGACAAAGTGAAGGCAAACATTTCTAAGCGAGTGCATATTCGCCATCTCAACACAGCCGAAGCTCTAGCAATCCAGCACTACAGGTTTACTTTTTGCGTTCAAAGGAGATATATGCAATCTCTAATCTCCCTGAGACAGTTTATTCATTTCTGTGTTTATTTACTACATTTCTAAAAGCAATTTTGATGACCTTGATTTGTCCTTCTAGCCGTTATCACCTCGCCACTTTTTTTTTTTTACCGTTTTGTATTGGCCCATGAGCCATTGATCAACATATACATTTAGTTGTAACTATGATTACGATGTACAGCTTTTGGAAATTATTTTTCTTGAAAAGAAACTTTTCTTCGTTAAATTGCCTTTCATTAAAACAGTTGTTTTTGACCAGTGAAAGAATATGTGGCTTTAGTTTCTTGGAATTTGTAGTTCGTTGTTATAAAATAACCGAATTCAACTGGTTAATGTAATAAATCGTAAGACGTTTCTATTGTTTATTAGAACTAGCGATGTATCGCATTGCCTCTTACACTATCAGGTGAACGAGGTTTCGAACCTATGACTCCTGTTAGTGCTTTATATCATTATAATATCTTTATAACATTACCCACAGATGTGTTGTGATAGTATTACAACAAAAATAATCGTATCAATTTACCATGTAATTTGATCGTTGCTTATTTTTCCCCTTTATCATGCTTAGAATGAAAACGTTTATCGCCTTGAAGAAGCCGTTACTTTTCAATCTTTGAGTAAGTCTTAGATAAACATTAGTTTGTACAATATTTTTACTGCTGGAAATGCAGATGTATTTCTAAAGTTATTGAGAGCACTTCACCAATAGTCATAGTTATTTTCTTTACAGCTGGATTTGATAGATTATTTCAGTGGATGCCGCTCTGATAAAAAGAATATATTTTGGGCAGCAACATACAACTAAGGATATTTCATACATATATACATACGTGTAGACTGATCACTGAGTAGTGGTGTATATGTTCACACTTTTAACTCCTGAATTCGATTGTCATTTGTTGATCAATGTTTAGCAATTTGACTAATATACGGGATGATTTCACACCGTTAGGAATAAAGCAGTCTTGAAATGAATTATTTCATTCCTAACCCAACTTACCATTAACACTCAGTAGTTCAAACGGGTTAAAAAAACATCATGCCCGGGTGGAAGGAAGTGCGAGTTGATCTGTCAAGGTGCAATAATTGAGAGCACCTTATCAATACTGCTTATAGCATCAAAACTGATTCAGTGTTCAATACTACCTGTCCACAAGGCGTAAAGAAATTTACCAAGAATAGTACTTTTCTGCCTTATTTGTACTGCAGAATCTCTTGCCTTATGTGTAGAAGGACGGGAATTGTGTGTACAAAACGAAACTTGTTCAACTTTTATTGCTTTGTAGCTAAGAATCCCATCTCCCTCTTTCAATACTCATAATTTTGTGGCATTTTTACCAACCCATCGTCTCCATGCTGCTCTTATCACACCTTATCTTGAAAATTATTTTCTACACTATCACATCCTAACCTGTCACTTAAGTGTTGGTCTATGTACTTCACTGTAAATAGTTTTCACCCTACATCACAATTTGGTTTTTTGACATTTAAAAAGTATAGTCTTCATCTAACCTGATCTATTTTAGTAACTCTAATTAAATAGTGCTTGTAACAATGGAATATAGTGTGGGAGGTATGCATTAAATTGCAGTTGTACATTTGTAGGTAGCTTCGCTGAACCTCTTCTCTTTTATGCCTTAATGCACATTTTCAATAATTCATTTATCCCCTGAGACTGTTTTTGTCTGTATACCAATAGTTAGAACTTGTTTAGTGGTTAAACATCTAATAAATCCTTCATTTTACGCAAGGAAGCGAGGGGTATGTTCAGTAGTAACCTTAAACTATTTCTGGACTAGTCCGTTTTCTCAGTAAAGCAATCATAGATGTGTATGTTGTAGCCTGACTTCCTAAAAATTTCAAATAAACAATAAGAGTAACCTTATATAGGACTGAGCTGAATTATGTATACACTATTGGTTATACATATATATATATATATATATATAATCTTCAAGCTATACACTTCTAGAGATATAACTAAGATTAGTTGTTACGTGATAGAATTGTACGCGTTGTGATAAGAGATAAGGATAAGTAAGTTCATTAGATGTTTTACTAAAAATATCGACTGTTTTGCTTTATCAACCCTATTGAATTACCGAAATTAGGTGATTCACAGTTACCGCATTTGATTGGTTATACTAGGAAGTAAACTTGAGATTTATTCGTTAGTTATTGGTTTCTGTGAGATTTTGAATGATCGTATTGCAACTTCCGTTACTTTTAATTACAGCTCGATTTGTAGCGGGATTTCACAATTCCACCTACAACCATGGTTAAGACATCCAAAAGATAATGATGACGCATCATTCGTCTACTCTCCGGCTAAGGATCTACTTATTGTTGATATTAAGCATCCAATACACTTGACGAAGTTAGTTGACCAATCATCCAACTTCATGGACTCAAGAAAAAACTTGATTTTACTTTACTATTCATCGACATGTCTATACTCATTCGGTGGAAATAGCGCTTTGTGGCAGTTTGAAGCAGCTGCTCAGTTTTTTAAATCAAACCAATATCTTTTGTTCGCTAAGTAAGTTTACTGTCGATATTTCGTTTAAAGGTTATTCAAGTATTCCATTTATCCTAATAACTTAAAAAAATAGTTAAACTTTAAAGAGGTGTAAGTCTACGTAAGGGAATTTTTAAAACTGAGAAATTTATTTTTATTCAGTAACGGGTAGACGTTTCCTGCACGATTATCTACTTTACGTACATCATGTGTTTAGTCGGTAGCGTGATAAAATGTTCGACTAATGAATCGCGCATGGTCTTAATTAATGCTGCACAAATATTTTGTATATATTGGCTATTTATTGAGGATATTGATTGATTGGGGGAAGCAAACCACTATATAGTGGACGACTGTAGATATACGTAAGGTAACGGCAAAGAAATATAACAAATTTGATAAAATAAAATACCAACATCATATAATTAGCTTAGTCTGCTACTTAGTGGTGGGTAAATCAAAAGTTAATTGTTAAGTTGTTTTTTTTTTACAGGAGTAAAGAATTACCATCTAGTCCGGTACAGTATTAAATGTAAAGGAAATTCACTGTATTGGAATCATTTTGGGTTTATTATCATTTCTTTGCTATCCTTTATTTTTCCAACTCAGAGTGGATGTCTCAAAAATGGATCTTCCTTGGCACTTGAGAGTTGAGAATGTTCCTTGTATAATATTCTTCCCTGCCAATCGGTAAGTTGCTCCTATTTGCTTATCGTGTTTATTTTCCCGATGCCTTTAAAAAGCCAGAGTATTTGTTAAAATAAGCTTTGAAATTCAGTCTTACATTTTCTGTTTGATGGTAATAGGTGATGTAAATCTAACCCTATCGTGCTTGTTTTAGTCACAAATGTATGGCCATCATTGATGAAACTTAGTTTTTGTAATGAAGCATAAGTATGTTTCATTGGCTTTTACATTAATTTCATTAATTCCTGAGGATATTAATTTAGAGTCTACGACTGGTTACACGATATCAAAAATAACTTAAAGTATCGTTTAGTTTGAAGCTCTAGGTTTCAAAAAGCCTTAAGGTAATAGTCTAAAGTAAAGGACAGGAATCTTTTCAGGTGCGTGCAAATGTAACTAGGTCCCAATTATCCACTTAACCTATTTATTTATGATAGCTTTGATAGCTGAAACTGACTGCAAACAGTACATGAGTCAATTAATTCCCCTGTACATGAAGTGTGCTTTGAAGCAGATATAACACCTGATATTAGATTTGTACAGCATTCTGGTTGAAAACAGACGTTTAGAAAATAAACCTTATTTACAAATTTTCCCAATGAAATAACGGCTTCATTGGAAATGTAGACATTGAGATGTAGTTCGCTTACGTATTCATCTGTCTAACAAGTTTCAAATGTGCGTTGGTACTTCAAAATAGATGTTTTCACACATTTGAAAGTTATGGAAAAGGGGGAAATGTAGTTATTCATAGCAAAAAGACGTATTTTACTTAGTGGTGCCATCATTTTCACTGTGTTCGCATAAAGCTTAGACATGTTGAAGAGGGACGATGAAAAATCTGGGTTTTGATACTTCATCAATGTCAGTGAATCACACTTTTCGTTTACCGCATTATCAAGCCTTTCTCTGATTTAAATTTGCAGAAGTAGTAATTCATTTAATGAGAGAAAAGTTGCACCTAGAAGCTTGGCATTTCCCTTTCTTTTCATGCATATTAGCGAAATAGTTGTAGACGACCAAGAGACTACTTATTTTTTTTTGGTGTAACTATGAGTGAGTGAACATAGCAGTAGCAGAACATAGTAGATGTACTCATTTGTGTTTACCAAGGTTTTTTAACTTGACCAATGACTGACTGACTATAACAGTGTGAGAATTGTTGTGTTCGGATTTGCAGTTTACACGTTTTTAAACATCAAGACACAAGTTTTATTCTTTCTACAGTAATCAAGACGTAGGCAGGTTGGTAGTATAGTTGGTTTTTGCGCATTAAATGTCACTCGCATTCCAGTTTATGCTCTTTCCTCTGGTTGTAATTTCTCATTACTATTATATTATTGCATTTATCCAAAGTGTATCAAAGGAAAACTGACGGTAGCTGTAATTTTTTGTGGAAAATATTTCGAAGTGGGGATAAAACTAGGAATTAATGTGTCTATTTCGAAATTATCATCCTTTGCCGAAAGTTGGACCTAAAAATGTTGGAAATATATTTTTCCATAGTCATTCCACTTACAACCAATCGTTCGCAGTAGAAACGTAACTTGCTTATTTCATTTCACTTTTCCTATTATATTAGTTACCAGGCCGAAAGACCGAAACATGCGTTCGAAATCGGTTTCTGTGTAACTATCCATTGTTCAGTTTTGAATACTATTGTGTCAGTCTAATTGCGCTTAATATCGGTCGACGACAGTAAGAGATAAAGCATTTAGAACTGAATAAAGAGTTAATGATTTGTTGTTACATTTGATTTTTTTTTGTGTCATCTAAGCTTTTGAACTACTGCTCTATACTTTCGTTAATATCCCTGTTAACAAGCTTGGAATTTTACTTACTTCGTTTACCCATCAGTAATTGAGTTTCTGAATTGATATCATGTTTTATTTGATTCAATATAAAGCTATCTGTATTGTTATTTCGCGTGTCATTACCAACGCATATCAAACTAAGCACAAACTCAGATTTGTGAAATAATAAAATCTTAACAAATGGAACTCAGTTACAACTATATTGTAAACCATACTTACTACATACACTAAACTTTACGAGGCTGTGTGACAGAGTGCGATTGAAACCCGCAAATAGTTGCTGTACTCGTCACTATAAGAAACATGTACACATTTTTTCAAAAATTATTTTCAGTGAGTATATAAAGGATCATTTATTATGTCAATTGTTATTCGTAAAATTATCGTTTTTTTTCCTTTTCTTAAAGATCTTCATATTCATCTGTTTTTCCTATGGAAGCTATAAGTTCAACCAATCTCTTCACCCAATTAGTAACCTTTATATATGAAAAAATTAATTCTGATGAAAACAATGAAAGCGGAGAAATGAATCGATTTCAAAATAGTTCACAATTTGCTGCCATGCTCACATCACAATTACTAGAGAGTATTGATATAAAACCGTCCGAGGAATTAATGCAACCAGTACTTGAAGCACATAGAATATGTAGTGCCCAAATACTTTCGTATTCAAAAGATTTATGTTTTAGTGGTGTACAGAAAGCTGTATCGATAAAAGCCCATGATTACCATAATATAAATGTAACTTCCACAAAGATGTTAAGTACAATCGAAAAGAAGTTAAATAAACTGAATGATAGACTGGTGCGTGATTCTTTTCTTCTTCTTTTATCATCAAATGTACAAAAACACTTATCTCAGTCAATTAAAATTCATTCTAAATTATGGCATATTATCAATAAATTGAATTCTCAGATTGTAAAAAAATTGAAGATTTTATCGAATTATTCATATTTTCAACTGTAAAGTTTTGAGATTTCACTGCACCTCGATTTCGTCCAACTAACCTACTAATCTCTGTTTTTATTTTCTTTCTTTAGTTTAATGGGTTGTTTTTCTACACTTCAAGATATGTATTTACACTGCACTTTTTTGTAATCATATATATTTGTTTGTCTTTCAATAAATTTGCAATACGAAAAAGCAGTCAGGGAGAGTGTGTTCTTCTTACTTCAAAGATTACTTTAAAGTTTATTTATTTCACTGTACAGATAGCGTTTGTCTATAGAGAAAACAGGAGCTGTTCTAATCTGTTGCGTTTTACTGTAGTAGTATAGCACATTTCGGTTAACGTTTGTTGCAGGATAACTGAATAAACATGATGATCAACAATCCAGTTCATATTTATTAATATACTAGTAATTTTCCGTTGTTTCATTGGATCAAATTGTTCAACCTCTCGACCACTTGACTAGTCCCAAATAGGACGAGACGCGCGTCCTGGATCCCTTTGCTAGCAACAACCAACTAAATTACCATGATTGACATCCAGACAATATCGAGGCATTCGGATAGGAGCCCATAAGCCAATAGAGGTCGAACAATTCGATCCAATGAAACAACGGAGAATTACAAGTATATCAGTAAATAGTAATAACTACTACCGGTTGTACAAGAAGTGGCTGTCGTTCCTCTGTGGCATAGTGGACAACGCCTTGGCGTTTGAAACGGCGGGCACGAGGTTCGAGTCTCGGGAGGGGGACAACATCACTCACTGGGGTGCAGGCAATCTAGCTGACGAGTCCCAAATGGGACGAAACGCGCGTCCTGCATTCCTCTACTATCCACAACCGACTTAAATCCAGTTCATAACTGTTCCGAATGACAACTGAATAATTGGTTTGTTCTAGCAGTTATATTGTTTAGGCTGGCTTATCAGAATATAGCTTTTTTTGCGGTTAATAACAACTGAAAGTAAACGAAATCCAAAGTTGCATTTGGAATCGAATCAGTAACTTTCAGATTATGCGTTTCATATTCCTCATGATGCGTTACAACTTATCAGTTATTCGTTCCAATTCAACATCCGTTTAGTCATCATTTACTTTTAGGACTTATTTTTATCACTAGTTGTTGTTTTCCAAGGTCAATAGGTAATGGGAACACGCCTGTAAAAAGTATTCTCTTGCATCATCATACAGATCGACTTTCCTGCAGTATGATTGCTAACGCTTTGCAATTATAGGTGGCACAGATGTACAAGATTTCAAACAGCCTTCAGCTTTTACTTCTCTTAATCAAGAAAAGCATGAAACTAGAATGCTAAAGATAATTAGCTGTACTACAAACATTTTGTCCTTTGTCTATAAACGAAGATTCCTGAGTAACTTTGTTTTACAAAATAGTTTATCTGGTTTACTCTTTATCACAATCAGTTGGTTCGTCGTTGTGTTGTATTCTTCCTCTACCAACTACTAAAATTTGTGTTAAGCTATATGAATCAGTCAGTATCAAGATAGAACATGGAGTTACCGCGTAATGGTCCCAATCACCACATCTCATATCAGTGCAACAAGAGAAAAAACTGAGAAACAAAAATAATTTATCTATGAGTCAAAGAAGGCTGTAAAGAAAATGGAGTAAAATAACGAAATATGGTGTGAGTCTTTTCGCAAAGATGAAGCGCAAATGTATCTGTGCTGCTGTGGAAAGTTCTGAGCTATATCGCCTGTAAACATTGATTCTTTAACTGACTCCACGCTGTAAGTCTACACTACAGTAGTGATCATAAATGTCTTGGCCGATGAGGGAAACCCATCCACTAACTCACTCTTTTTACTTTAGACTTTACGCCTAACCTCTAATAAAGCTAACGTAACGATTACACGACATGCGACCAGTAGTACGAAAGCAATGTCCAGAACATTTTCATTTCCTCTACTTTTGATGGGCATGTTTCAGTCGTGGATTAGAAAAAAGTGAAGTGCTACGCAGCACACTGGAGACTTGGTAGACAGTTGGCTATCACATGAGTGCCATAAATTGCATGAATTGGTGAAAATCAATAAAGCCTTTTGCATCTTAGCCAAAAATTCGTTCGTCGAGGACCAATCACACTTCCAACTTAGACGGAGTGACCAACCACTTCACGCTGTATTATCAGATGAGGTGTAGATGCAAGCCAGTCCTGAAGCAATGATTTACAGCACATAGCTGAGGAAAGCATCTGATACATTCTCAAATTATCACTAGAAGTGTCTAGAAGACTGCTTTTTATAGGAATCTTCACATAATAAGACTTATGCGTACCGTCGATTGAGTAATGGGAAAGAGAAAAACAACGTAGAACTCTGCACAGAAGTTCGTCGGTTCAAGTTGCCACACTTCACAGTAGCATATAAAGAACAAGTGGACAGAAAAAGATCAACATCGAAGTAGACGAATGTGTGCGGGAGGAGCAAAAAAATCTAAAAATGAAGGTTAGTTCAAGTTTTAGAAGCCGTCAAAAAGTGAATAAATCTGCACCACTGTGACGTATCTTCTGCCATTTCACTGAGAATTATCAACCACTGATTCCTATCGTCTCGGGGACCCATTCAGGTAGCTTACACCTCCCAACACGGCTCAGATCAGTTGTCTGAGACTTCTTGCACTATTATCACGTCTTGGTCTGATCACCCAGAGCTCTCTTCCAACTTGATGTCGCTTCTCCTAACATTGCACGTCGAGGTAGGCGGTGGCTCAGCATGTACATGTTCAAGCTACCTCAGTCGGTGAAGGTTCACAAGCTTGCTTCTCTTACTTACCCTTTGCCTGACCTCGACATCACACCGGTGCCATGCTGTGAAGCCACCTATGATTTAGAACCTGTATCTCTACATATCTTCTAATCTCAACGGTGATGTCTTAGATGTATAACAGAACACAGCGAACTGCAGCACAATGCTTTCTTCCTTTATTAGGTAGGTGGATATCTCGCCGTTTCCAGAGAGGATGCCAGTACAAACATATCATATTTTACCCTCTTACATGTCCTGGAAAACCCGTTGTCGAGACTTGTCATATTTCTCTACCTGAAGGAGGCATTTGACTCAGTCGATCGTGGTGTTGTGGCAATAACTGACTGTGAAAGGAGTACCGAGGAAGTGTATATTTCTTATGGAAGCTCTCTACTCAGACTCACGTAACTGTGTGAGGGCTTGTGTAGAGTTGTCATGTGAATTTATGACGAGTGGTGGTGTCTGTCAGGGATACCAGCTGTTGCCCTTCATATTTTACTTCTTTATAGACATACTGATGGACATAACCTTAGATACACGTGACTTCACAGGGCTTGGTCCACTCACATTGGAAGTTATTTGTTTGACTGCAAGTCCGTAGACGACATTGTTGTGCTAGGTGAAAACACTGACAAAATGCATTGTCTTGTGAAGGCGCTGAAGGAGCAGAAATCTGAGTATGTTTGACATGTGTTTCGCTGGCATCTGTCAAATGTAAGAGTATGCTCGAAGACTGGTCTGCTGTAAGTTCTCCCAGTTTACTGATAGGTGGTGGTGAAGTGGTGGAATGTTTGGAGCAGTTCATTTACTTGGGGATTTGCATGAGTCCGAATGGTTTGGTTGTTGACGAAATGTCAGCTTGTATAGAGAAGGCGGGTTTGGCATTTGGCAACTTGTGTTGAGTGAGGAGATATTAGACAGTTTTTAGAGGACGAGTATACTGAGATTCAGTTCGTTGTGTCGTGTTTTGTGGCTGCGAGACTTGGTTGATGAAAGTAGCAGACGTGAAGGGATTATTGGGTTTTGATGAGAGATGTCTTCATAGGATTGGTTGCGTTTGGTTGAATCGGTGTGTGAGGAGCAATGTTGAGGTCAGATGAAGGGTACTGGGCGAGATAGGCATGTGGACTGATGAGATGTGGTTGTGAACTTTATTGAACTGAGGTTGTTGGGACATGTAATTTGCATACCAGGCCACCAACTACCTTGATGTGCTATGCTGGGGGAGGTCGGCTTATGTTGGAAGAGGACACCAGTCTATGAAGACCGTGACCGTTTGTCTCCGCAGTTTGGGGAGATGTAGACTGCTTGATTAGGATCTCTGGGAAGAGAGAAATCAGTGGTTTGGGACTCACAGTGACATAGGTGAGAATCAGTTACAATGGTTCAGATGTAGGCACTCTTTTACGTCTTTTGAAGTTTGAATATTTTCACTAACCTTTGTCTTCAAATTGATTATTCTCTCACACATCTTCGTCTGGTTTGTTATCACTTTTCCTATCCACTCGCTCTTTGTGTTGCAACTTTAACCGATGCATTTGTGTGATAGGTTCTGTATTGATTTTATCTGTCTGTCAATGTGTTCAAAATCCTGCATTTTTTTTCAGAATCACCTAACAGGACAACATCTTCTGCGTACTGCAAATAGCTAGATACCTCCAGAAGAAGATTAATCTCTGTTAAGTCAGACGTATCTGAGTTTTTGTCCACATTTAGAGCGAAACTGAGAACGAGCAGTGACAGTGAATTCCTACTTACTTCTATGTTAAGTAAGTGCTGATGAAGTCGCCTAGCTTAGTAATTAAGCGTCCAGGAACAAACCTCAAACCTTGGAAGATACCTAAATATCATGTTAGGCGAAATATATTAGCATTAAAGGAATAAATAAATGTATTTTGATGGAAAATATCACTACTACGAACGTGATGAAGAGTGCATATTTTGAACTATATCACTCAAGATCTCCATTGATTGATTCTTGGCATGAATAGGATGCCACTGAAACTGCCTACATCTCTCTCCATGACCGGTGCCTCATCGTATCTAATCTGATTACTGGTCACTTTCTGCCAAACTAATCCTAATTTGGTTAGCGTCGTGCATCAAGGCAGTTTATGGCTCAGTATGCTCGACGTTTTCTAGGACTTCTCTATGTATGAAGGTTCCCAGCTCGTGTCAACTAACTTCCTTTTGTTTTCTAGTACTTAATGCTTATCATAGGAGTTGGGCACACATACGCTGCAGGAA